GGCCGGGCCTCGCCGCCGCTGGCCGCCCTGTCCCAGGTGCTGCGGCTGGAGCGGAGCCGCCGCAGCGCCATCGTGTTCCCGCTGCAGAAGCTGGAGCGGCACCTGGCGCCCGGCACCGACACGGCGCGGTTCCGCCTCTTCCAGCCCGGGCTGGCCGCCCTGCAGCGCGCCGAGGCGCTCTTCAGGTCCGACCGCGGGCACCCCATCGACTACGTGAGCTCCGCCGTGCGCATGGACCATGCCCCGCCGCCCGCCCTGCCCGAGGTCAGGCGAGCGCTGCCCGCTCGGCCGGCACAGCGGCTTCCCCCGGCCGGGCCACCCCGGGCTGGGCTGAGCTGCGCGGGTAAAGGGGTGGTTGTGCAGCTGTGTCTGCGCCGCGCCATATCCGGGGCACTTCCTGCTGCTTTGTCAAAAATCGCTTATTTGTTGTTGCTCCCCGTTGTGCAGCTAGGCAGCCTGACATGCCCGTGGCACAGGACACCACTGGCAGCACGGGCTGGGAAATGACCAGGCCTGGCGGCAGCGAGAGGTGAGTAGGTGTAGATGTGCCCTCTCTGCCTCTCCCCCTGCAGGTGTGCTTCATCGGCCGAAGCAATGTGGGGAAATCATCTTTAATCCGGGCCTTGTTTTCACTGGCTCCAGAAGTGGAAGTTAGAGTGTCAAAAACTCCCGTGAGTGACGTTTTTAGCTTCCCTCCCTTTGGGTCTGTCTTTTAAACCACGACAGGGTCATAAGCTGGTATCAGTCCAGAGGGTAGGGCTGAGAAGCCCTTGACTAGCCTGAAATGACAAAAAGTAAGTGCCAGCTCTGGTAGCCATCCTCATGGCTAGCACTGGCCTTGCTCTAGCCCAGGAAGAGATAGAAGGAGCCCAGCCTAGCTCTTCAGGCAGACAAAGGAGCTGCACAACCTGAGCAGGTATGCTGTAAAGCCTTTTGAGAAGAACCAAGCTCAGAGACCCATTAAAGTACTTCTAGTCTGTTTTATGGATACAGCCATGTAGGATTGCTACACAAGTAGGAGACTGGGCAGTTAAAGCATTCTGTGGGAGCAGGGGTCTGGTAGAGATATTTTGCAGAGCATCTCCTAGTACATTGCTTAAAGCAGCTTTTTTCAAAACCACCCCTCTACTTCATCTTGTCTAAATCCTCTCTTCAGGGCCACACCAAGAAGATGAATTTCTTCAAAGTAGGGAAGTACTTTACTCTGGTGGATATGCCAGGATATGGCTATCGCGCCCCGCAGGACTTTGTTGAGATGGTGGAGGCCTATCTGCAGGAACGGCACAAGTAAGGGACCTACCTGTACCTCACAGCACAGGGAGAGCCAGACAGACACCCCTATAAAGCGTCATGTAATGAGGGGAGAAAATGTAGAGGGGTAGCTGCTTCCATCTATTAGTTCTGACATCATTTCCCTGGAAGCTTCTACAGCGTCACCCATTCATGCTCAGACATATCAAAACAGCAGGAAAGATTGAGGTACTACTCCATGCTGACCCTGTTTCCATGCATGGCTCTTCTTGGCTCATCCTGTCCCCAGATCCCATGTTACTTGGTTTTGCTTATGAATTTGGAAGTAGCAGAGCAGGCATGAAATAATGGTGACAATTACTGTTGCTTGTATTTCTGGCAGCTTGAAGAGGACTTTCCTATTAGTTGATGGTGTAGTTGGACTCCAGAAAACAGATCACATTGCAGTAGAGATGCTGGAAGAGTTTGGGATTCCTTATGTGGTAGGCAATGCTCCATTCTTGGGTTGGTTATAAGGTACAGGTAATCTAGAAAGGTGTGTACCCTCCACCAGAGCTTATGCAAGTTGACCTACCTAAACAGTAACCCTACACCCTTTATTGTTTATAAAATAGGTTTATAGTGTGTTGAGGGAGACCAGTGGGATTTAAGGGGTTTTTGTGTGGTTTAAAAATAGATTTTTTTTTTTCAATACTCAGCTTGAGCAGCTTGAAAAAGCCCACTCCTTATACAGGCCATAGAAGTGTTTTGGTGAACTATGCTAGACTGTTTTTCCCCCTACATATGACCAGAGCTTTCAGACTGCTTTGTAAGATTGTCTAGGACTCTTACAGATGTGCCAGGTTAGCAGCAAAATAATCTTTCTTCTTTTAATCCTCCCTTTCCACATGCAGATGGTGTTAACAAAAATTGACCGAGCTTCCAGAGGAGTATTGTTAAAGAATGTACTGGAGATCCAGGAGTTTGTAAAGGAGAGCACTCAGGGATGCTTTCCTCAGCTGTTTCTGGTCAGGTAAAGCTTGTCTCCACTGCTGCTGTTCCCTTTCTGGTGATGAGTTCAGTAGGGCAAGATACCTAAAACAAGTCTGTCTGCTCTAGAGGAAGCACCTCTCTGTGCCCCAAGAATAAAGGGTGGGCTGCTGATGGGGAAATGTCCCTTTCCTTCTCCCCTCTTCAAGTGAGTGAAGTTTATATCCAAGGGTGCTTCTTCCTTTGGCCTTTCTCAAAGTGGGGCAGCAGTCCTTGCGCTGCATGGTAGCAGGCTTTGACATTTTGTTTGGAGTTCTGGTAACAGTGACAGCTGTAATTGTTGGGTTACATAGCCAAAGTGCAGGCTCTTCCCAAGGTGTACTGCGGGATCTGTAATTGAACATAGCCAGTGGCTGTTTGCCCTTATTACTCCAAGACACAGCAATATCTGGCACTGAACATCTATGCCTCTGTTTCCACAGTTCTGTGGAGTTCTCAGGGGTTCACTTGCTCAGGTGTTTTGTAGCCCATGTTACTGGAAACCTGCCCACTGTAGAGGCCAGCTGAAAAGACCTGTTGATCTGCTTGGCTCATCAGGAATAAAAGGTACCAAAACCAGAGGTCTGGGGTTTTTGTTGTAAATAACACAAGTTACTGTCTGGTAGTTTTGAATAAATTAGTATTTATAAAGCTAATTTTTTGCTTTATTAAGTTCATCAGTTCAGGAAGTTTGCAGTGTGAATTAATCCAAGCTGCTATAAAACTGTTTCATAAAACCCACATGATTGTGCTAAGGAGAAAAATGTAGGGAACCTCCATAGAGAAGGGAAGTTTTAATACAGCATTTTCTCAAAAATCTACTACTCCATGCCTAACCTCTGCTATATTTAGGATACTGGAGACTGTCTAGTAATGTAAATAAAGAGGCATTTAATCTAGGAAAGAAGAACTACAGCTCTAACATTAAGCAAACTGTATTGCCCAGTTGAACTGAAAGATACACAGAGGTTTACTTCTCTCAGCTGGGTTAGGTTGGGGTTGGGATAGCAGGGGGGCCAAAAACTACCTCCTGTGCAACCTACCTGCTCTAAGGCCATGCAGAGTGGAAGCAGCCTACCTGTTGTCTGTGAAGGTGTTTGATATCTTGTGTATTTTCCTTTTGTAACTCTTTTGTGTCCTGTGTTCAGTAGGTGCAGCAGGATAACGTGCCTTTCTTGTAAACATTGAGCTGCCCCTGTTCCACAAGGATGAAGGAAAGAACACATCTTTAATAGGAACTGCTTTTCCATGAGTGTTGGCTTGAAACAGAGTGGAATAAAAGACTGACATCTAGAGAAGCCCTGTCTTGCACACTGTCATAAGTCAGTGCTGCATCCACCTTCTGTTTTGAGATCCAGCATGAATTTCTGCAGCTCCAGTTGGATGAATTGCCAGATCTGAGGCACACCATCCATGATCTGTGTTGGCTCCATCCTGGCAGCTGAAGCACAACGCTGATGTGTCCTGTACTCTTTAGGGGAACTGTGTCCCACAGCAGCTGTGTCTGTGTAGAAGCACCTAGAAACTGAAACTGTCCAGTTACAAGGCAGAACTGGACAAAAGGACAGCCATCAATAGCAGCACTCATGCAGGGGAACTTAGTCTGAAGCTATGAAGTGCTTGTGTCAAACCCTGGCACTCAATTTTTATCATGTCTTAATGTGGCCAAATGTGGTTGTGCAGTTGTCAAACTTACTTGCATTAGGTGTTTAAACCTCAAGAAAGGAAAGTTCTTTTCTAAACCACTCCGACAGTGCAAAAGGACTAGAAATACCACTTTCTCTCACTATGCAATTTCTTGTAACACACTAGACATGAGACAAGATCTGTTTTCAGCATACATGTAAGAAGAGGAGAATGTGAGAACTGCAGTAAATGTGGCTCTCTAGCTTCTGCATCTTAGTGATCAAACTTGTAATTCTGTTAATATTTTATATCTAATCCCAAAATGCTGCAGAGCAAACGAGCCTAAGGGATGCATGATCCTAGAAATGCAGTAGTAGCTATACAGATGTAACAGGTGAAAGTGAACACTTTATGAAGGGTCTTTTCGTAGTATCTTAAAACCAGGATCTTCTAAAAACATCAGTCTCATCAAGGCTATAGGTTTCAGGGCCTCAGCCTTGACTGAAGAGCCTCTGAAAATAACCCTGAATATGTAAAAATGTGCAGTTCTGCTTTTAGTCCCACTTCAGATGAAAAGCCCTTACATTACATTACTACCCCTTACAGTGCTGGGAAGTCTTTTATTAACCACTTAAGTACATTAAACACATCCAGTTAATCCATTTGTATAAACAAACTGGATGTGTGTGCATGGAACATTAGGAACCATCTTCTCCAGAAGAGAAGGTACTCATCTATTTAGGTACCATCTTCTCCAGCTTTACCTCTGGACACATCTTGGTTCTGTTCAGAAGTGTTTCAAATACTGGAATAACTATTGCATTTTGCTCAGCTGTTTGCAGGAGAGAACACTGCAGTTTGATTTGAGTGTGACAGTGCCCCTGTGACAAAACTAAATAAAATCAAGTCCTCTCCCTAAACAGTAAAACTTATATTTAAATGCCTTTGTGCAAACAAGCTTTGGGTAAGCAGGTGTCTTGACACGCTAATGAACTTTGTTTTTGCCATGTTCTTAAGGAACCAGCTGAGTTGCAGATGTTCTGCACTGCAGAGCTGCACTTTCTCAGGCCAGGGACACAAAATATCTCCCTTTTCTTTCCCCCCATTATTGATGGGTGGTGAGTGGGCTTGGCAGCATTCTAATACAGTAGAGCTCATTTCAGTTTTAAATTGAGTTTTACATTAAAATGTCTTTAGTTGTTTGCAGTGCATAAGCTTCACTTAAGGCTTCTGTCATTACCTGGTAAATCTTTGCCTCTTCTACAGCTGTTATTTACAGAAATTATGTTCAATATTAGCTTCCGTGGAAAAGATTTCACCTTGTGCATCTTCCCTGGTCTTTTAGCAGTACTTTATCCATTTTCTTCCTCTGTTGTGTCTTGTGTTTGGTCTGGTCTGTCGCCATAACCCTGACACTACAAAGGCAGTATTTTTGCAACTGTGTCCAAAATTAGAATATTGCAGTCTGGGCAGGTGCCCTGGTATGTCAGTAAAAACTGGTGGAATAATCGAGCTCAGAGCATAGAAGCCAGTGGGTCATACTCCAGCTGCATGGCAGTTACAGGTGGAACTCAGCAAGGATCCATTCTGGAATGTGTCCAGTTTAACATCTTTATGTGTAATCTGGAGGAGGTGCATTGCTATCAAACGTGCCTAGGGCACCAAGCTGGGGGGAACAGTGGGCATATGCAAGGGTAGGCCTGGAGGAAAAGGGCGGACAGCAACTGTATGAAATAAGAGGATTGGAGCACCTTCCCTACAAAGACAAGCTGAGAGAGTTGGGGCTGTCCAGAAAGTGGAAACCTCCCTAACACCCTTCCAGTATGTGAAAGGGGACTAAAGAGCAGCCAGAGAGGACCTCATCAGGAACTGCAGTGATAGGGCAAGGGGGAATGGGTACAAACCGAAAGGGAACTTACTTTGGGCAACCTGGTCTAGTGGGAGGTGTCCGTGTCCATGGCGGGGGGGGGGGGGGG